GCAGCATTGGTGTCTGGAAATCCATCTCACCACTACTAGGGGGAGTCGGTGGGTGGCCTAGAATTATTAGTAAAATCTATTAGGATGTTTTTTTTGTCAGATTCTTTATTATTTTATGAGCTTAAAACTTTTTTGTGACATGGAAAATATATATCATTTATTTCCTGTTTGTAGGAATTGCCTCCATGATTGTGTCATTCCTGGTGAGCATTTTCTACAACACCATCATTGCCTGGGTGCTATGGTACTTCTTTCACTCTTTCCAAAACCCCTTGCCATGGAGCCAGTGTCCACTCAATGATAACCGCACAGGTGACAAGAAAACCCACCATCCAGTCTTGCTGCTCTTGATACATTTATTCATATACTGTCACAGTAATAACAACAGAAGTATTGCCTGAGAGCAGCTCAGCACTCAAATTCTAATCTATCAAATTCAGTTAGAGAATTTGGTAGACTTGCAATAAGGTTATAAGACTATCACCAAGAGGAGTGGTTAACAACCAGGCTTGACGTGGCATTTCAGGTCAGATTCAATAGGAAAACTACTGAATTGTTTTATGGCACAAAGTTTCTCTCCTCAATGCAGGCAAATTCGTTTCCAGTAATGTTACCAAGATATTAAAATCTATTTCATGGTGATACGTAGTTGCTACATATTTTCCACATTTTAGATTAAACTATGCAGGAACACATGATGAACCACAAAAGATATTTTAATAATGCGGGGGCGGCATGGCTCTGGAGAGCGGTTGTCTAGTAATCAGAAGGTTCCTGGTTTGATCCCCAGCTCCTCCAGAGTCAAAGCGTCCTGAACCCCCCAACTGCTCCTGATGAGCAGGTTGGTTGGCACATAAACAAGACTGAACACTGAAATGAACACTGAAATGAACACTGAATATGTTAAAATAAATTATAATTGTACTATGATTACTATCTGTAATGTTTGTATTGACTACCCAGAACTATTGACTCCAGGATCCTAGAACTCCAGGAACTAGCTTATGTTTGCAAATTATTTATAGCATTACATCATCTATTGTTCAAAACTGCCAAACTGACATCCACTTAGGTAGTATTTTGCTAGCAATAACACTAGTGGTTAGCACCAGGAGTGACTCCACTGAAGACAGTATATTGCTGGCAACTCATCCATGTTAGCAAGACAGCTAACATTAGCTAACATTGGTCAACTAAAACTACAATATCAAAATATATTTTACATGATTTCCAGTAACGTTATCGGTACAATTTTGGTTTGTTGACATTAGTGCACTCCATTTCTAAGCTAACATTAGCTAGTGTTGCACACTGTTGGCACTGTAGGGGAGTGGAAGAGAAAGCACTCGGGAGCATGGTCACATCCTTTGGATTTTCCTAGAAACACCATCACAAGTCTTACATGGAAATAAGTTCACAGGCGAGAGTCGGGGAAGGTTACAATCCATTCACACATGGCAGTACAAAGCAAATAATACATTTAAATTGCTCCACATTCTTATATATTGCACCTTTAAGATTAAGCTGTTAACAGAATTTTGTAGATCTCGTGTTGTTATTGTTGTTCACTTGTGTATGCATCCATACAGGCTACGATGTGGAGTGTGAGAAGAGCACCTCAGTGAATTACTTCTGGTACCGTCAGACCCTGAACATCACACCTGACATCGAGACCAGCGGCTCCTTGCAGTGGTGGCTGGTCATCTGTCTTGCCAGCGCCTGGTGTGTGGTCTACATCTGCTTTATTAAAGGCATCGAGTCCATGGGGAAGGTGAGTTTACCTGGTGAAAAGTATATGAAGTCCTATTTCAAACTCAGCCACTGTACCATACTTGAAATATGTTTTTATGTTTCAGGCTGTGTATGTTACTGCCACATTCCCTTACCTGGTGCTGACTATCTTCTTGGTCCGTGCCCTCACTCTCCCAGGAGCTACTGATGGACTGGTGTACCTCTTCACTCCTGATGTGAGTCTGGTCCCTTGTTGCTACTACAGATGATGAAGACAGACACAATGACCTGATGTGTTGTTTTTATTCTCGCTCTAGTGGGAGATACTGAAGAACCCTCAGGTGTGGCTGGATGCTGCCACCCAGATCTTCTTCTCTCTCTCTGTGGCCTTTGGAGGTCTCATAGCTTTCTCCAGCTACAATTCAGAGAGGTAAGATACAACTCCCAAACTCCCTCAGGAAACTGGGATGATTTCAGTTACAAAGCTGTAACTGTCTCTTCTGCGTCCGTTAGAAACAACTGCGAGAGGGATGCTGTTCTAGTAGGAGTTGATAAATAAGTGCCACCGTCTCTCCTAAATGCGCTCCATCCTGGGATTTAAAGCTACCAGCGCCTACAACTCCTGTCGAGAGGAGTATGTATACACAAATACTTTATGTAATTTTAAAGATGAATTTTTCTTGCTGGTACCAATGAGGCAGATTTTTTTTCCTATCCCATCTGCAGCAACATCTTGGATCTGACCAACCACTTTGAGCTTTCAGACCAGAACATGACACTCGAGAACTATGATCAGTGGTATGACTATCTAAATAGTACATTTCCAGATAAGGTGGCCAGTTTGCACCTCAGGTCCTGCAATCTGCAAACATTCCTTGACCAGGTAATGTAAGTTAAAACACATCCAATCTTGTGCATAGCTTACTTCTTGTCTCGTTTCTCTAATTTGCCTCCTCCCTTAAAACCTGCTTATCTTCTGCTCTCGTAGTACATCATGTGCAGGTCAAACCTGTACAGTCAGTTCATGCCTCCTTATTCATTTCTTGCCTCTTTGTCATCTTCCTCCCCCAGAGCGCATCCGGTACCGGCCTGGCTTTTATTGTGTTCACTGAAGCAGTGTTGGAGATGCCAGGCTCGCAGGTATGGGCCATATTGTTCTTCATCATGCTCTTCAGCTTGGGGCTCTCCTCCATGTTTGGCAACATAGAGGGAGTCCTAACACCTATCAACGACCTGAAACTAGTACCCAAGTGGATCCCCAATGAAGTCGTAACAGGTACCTGCAAATCAGCTCCAGTTGTTTGAGTCAGGACACATTTTTCCCCTTTGAATTCCCTCTCTGAAAAGCTTTTGTTTTTTTGTCACTTATTTAGCGATCATCTGCTTGATAGCCTTCTTGACGTCTCTCATCTTCACCCTGGGTTCGGGGAACTACTGGGTGGAGGTCTTTAACGGCTATGTGGGCTCTGTGCCTCTGCTCATCATTGCATTCTTTGAGATTACTGGAGTCATTTATGTCTATGGAATGAAAAAGTAACATTCTCCTCTTTTTAAGTACAGTATATCTCTGTGGTCTTACAAGAATAATGTACACTTTTGATCCCAGTGTGTTTCAACCTTTTCACTGGTCCCCATGTCCTCTGACAGTTTCAGTGAAGACATCTATTTCATGACGGGGTCGAGGCCCAACATCTACTGGAAGGCATGCTGGATGGTGATCAGTCCTATAATGCTGCTGGCGGTGTTGATTGCCTACGTGGTCCTCCAAGCACAGAAACACCCCACCTATCCCACATGGAACCCAGATTATGTAAGCAAGTCAAGGGCACTGGCAAGGAAATGTTAATAATGCTGAATTGCTGAATATAGATATAGTGCTGTTGTGTAAAAATCCCTGACCGTATATAATTAGTGGACAGAGCTTCCAGATCTGTTAAGTGAAGCCAACGTGGAAGTGTCTTAAACCTGCATAATGCATTGCACCATTCATTACTAATTTAATGGATAACAGTATTGAGTCTTATGGAGTAATGACCCAACTTCTTGCTTTATTTATTCTTTTTTTTAGCTCAGTAAACGGTTTCCTAATGAGTTTATGGTCTAGATTCAAGTCTTCTTCCATATGGTGTTAATTTTGTAAATTATGGTCCCATTTAGAGTCAAATAGACAATAAAGCAGGGTTGGCTTTAGGGTGTGGCAATCTTGTGATTGACATGTCATTGCCCTCAGGTCTACTGAACGATTTAGCTTTTGGCTTGTTGTTTTTGTTTAACACCCTGCCAGTTTACTGCTGGTTCATTTTCACCACTCTCACAAACTAAAAAGTAAAAATGTTGGTTTTATGGGGAATTACATGCTAGAAGCACTTCTTGGTTGGGAACTTTATTTATTTTGCTAAGCTTAGTATAAAAAATAAAGTCAAATCAAATCAAAAACTGAATAAAGTTAAACAATTAAACAAAAAAACATTTTAAAATTAAATATATTCTATACATTTTTAATTTCTGTCTTTTTCTTTAGGAACTATTCCCCCAAACTCAAGTAAAGGATTACCCAGACTGGGTGTTTGCCATAATCCTCCTCCTCTGTATAGTACCTGTGATTTCCATCCCTGTTGTGGCTCTCTACAATCTGATCTGCTGTAGAATCCAGAGGTCCTCTGCTCGTGCTGAACCAAACCCCTACTGCAATGATGGCTTTGTGGTTGAAACACAGGAACAGAACAACCAGAGATTTTGAGAGTAACAATGTTACTGCATTCCTGAACAGAAAAAGACATCCTGATGGTGATCACTGCTTCTTTAGGATTTCCATCTTAATTCACCAGACAGCGCACATATAATCAGTCACGTTGAACTGTAATAGACTTACCTGTTAATTTTTTATGTTTACATTTATCAGGACCTGACCTGATATATGATAGCATTTATTTTCTCGACAACAAAACTGGATTTATTTAACTTTGAAATGCTTTACTTTGTACACATGTAGTCTTTACACTTAGTGTCACAAAACGTCATTGTATGAGGTCCTAAGCTTCCTGTTCCATTATCATCAGCAGTGTACTACATCAAACCTGAAATCAAATCATCTTGTACAAAAATCATTTGACTTATTCATGTGATGGCTGGCAATATTTCTGTGAAATTATTTACATATAAATTATTTTCTAAGTGATGTCATGTCTTCTTTGTGGAAAACTACCACAAGTGTAAATCAAAGTCCAGAGAGACAAACAACTGTGGGATGAGACGGGGGCTAGTGCAGTAGTGGTGGTTTTTAATGATGATCCATCTTTATTGATCTGGTGGTTGTTGTTTTATGGGGTGTGTTTATGACTTAAGTGTTTCATTACAGATGACTAAGGACAGCTTTTCTATTTCTGCGCAGGCAGCTTTCCCAGTACTGTATAATAGATACATTACACTTTCTTTGGCACACTGACAGATCCAAATTCAAAACACTGGTCATCTCACTCACACAAAACCTGAGGAGGAAACAAAAAAAAAGTACTTTATTACAACTTAATTTCATAACATTCTTATTCTACATTTCCAATGGATATCAGAGATAGAGATTTATACCTTTTAGCTGGAGGGTGTCATGGTTGCGTTTGGATGTGTAATTTGGGCCAGCTGGTAGTCTATGTCTGGATGGCCAAGAAGTCATCTGGGGTCCTGGGATTAGTGGCCTGTCGGACCCTGGCCAGCCTCAGGTCCCCTAAGCGACGCTCTAGACTGCGTTTCCCTGTCAAGAGGATGACAAAGAAAAATAGGAAGATGTTTTTTTTCTCTTTGGCAGTGAACTGAAAAAAAATAATCTACTCGAACTTTGTCCAACACCAGTCAAATCAAATTAAAGGTGACATTTGTACATGTCCCTAGATTTGTTGGTTTGGGGAGCAAAGTCCATATATAAAAAGGGTTTTGCCTCCCTGGCAAGTTGCATTGAAGATGTTTTAATGGAACATTTTCTCAAGAAGACTGAGGGCTCAAATTTCCAGGAATAAAGTCGGCTGTAGTGCAAGTGCAGTGTTAATGATTAGGCGGAGCAATTTTAGTGCTCATTTTGGCATGAAATTGTGCTTGAATTTCCACCAGCTCATACCTGCTTATTGCAGCAAGACAATATCGATAGCTTTAATTGACCCTTTTTTTCAACAAATATCCATCTCCACCTATGGCCTCTTACCATGACAATAGCTTTTCCTTATGTTAGTTAATTGTAAACTGAATATCTTTGGGACTGTGGGCTTGGGACCGGATCTTTCTGGACTATTGACCATCCTCATGGGCAGTGGAAACTTTTCATGGTTGTTGTTTTTTATTGATCAAACAATAATTAAAAATGTTTAACATTAAATTAATCGATAATCAAAATAACTGTCAGTTGGAGTTGGACTGACTGACATATGTGCAGTTTAGCACCTTTTTGTATGAAATGTCCTATTGTTATTATAATTAGAAGAATACATCATGTCAACGGTGCTTGTTATCTTGTGCTTCCATAGAATAGTTTCTGTGTGAGACTGTAGTGTACGTGTTTCCTGAGGCTACATACGTTTGTGCAGGTGTGGGAGCAGATCCTTATAGAGAGGACGGTACTGTGACAGCACTTGCAAGAAGGAGAGACAGAAAAGCAGCTCCACTGCTTCATACTGCATAATGCCGGTCTGGGCCTTGCTGCCTAAAATCAGTCCTGCATAGAGGGGAAGACAAAAGAGAATAAGAAATTATGAATATATGTATATATTGCTTTAGTTATTTTTTCCAGATCTACTAAGAGGAAATGTTGCCTTTGTTGCTGAGCCTGATGAGCTGACTGGCGTATTCGGCCATATCCCATATCATCTGCAGGAAGTACATGGTGTTCTTAGCAACAGTCTGACCGAAGGGCAAACTCTGGGCACACACATGGAACCTACAGAGAAAAACAAAAAACATCAAAGAGACAAGCCCCGCCTATTCAGACATTTACAGTCTGAGATAAAAGGTGGTACAATTAGTTTTCAGCTGAGTGCAGGTATTGACTGACAACCATCCCTGTGCTTATTTAAATAGCAGTTTTACTGTAGCTTTACACGCCCATTTATTAAGTCAAGGCCTGTGAACGCATGCAAGAGAGGAAGTCAACAGTGTGTAAAGTTCCTGATTTATGTCACTCCAGGTGGGTAATGGAAACAAATTATTTGCAGTTCCCATTTAATTTATACAATCTGAAGAAGTTATACAAATGAACAGACCATAGATAATGGAATGTGTGCATATTATGGCAACAGCAAAAAACTACTGACTAGAGTCAAAAGTAAGATCACTCTCTTCACCTGCGTGCATGAAGCAGCACCAGTTTGTAGATGTTCTTGTAGACTGCCTCAAGAGAATTGGTCTGAGAAGGGAAAGGAACATGATCATTTTCAAAATTGAGTGACTGAATAGAATCTGAGACTTCTCAATCAAACTATGTGCATGAAAAGGTCAACTTGAGGCACACTATCTTTAATATATTTGTACACGATATATAACAAATGTATTATTAACTAGTTATATCTTCTGTACCTTTATATTACGCTGATATTTACTATCTGCTACACCGTTTGTCCATTTTGTGTGGATAATCATGACTCATTAACTCGTGGATATCGTGGAACTTGACATGTTTACAACTGTCATTTACCACTTTGTTGCCGTTGGAGGGTAACTCCCAGCTGGCCACCCTTGTAATTGGCTCCATATGTTGATAAACGGCATCCGACCGTATGATTTGATAGAGGAAGTGCAGGTTCTGGTTTGTAACCTCTGCCTTAACTGGGACACAGCTAATGTATGTTTGTTTTGCAGCTGATTGTAGGTCAAGGGCCTTTTGAACAGAGCAGAAGACCTAAACCTTGGTAGAGAAGAGTGATTACAGGGATAAAGATCTGACCTGTTTTTAACTAGGTCAGAATCTTAGCTTCTTGTTAAATAAACCTTCCATATGCATTTCTATCAGTTTCATTGAAAGAAACAACCATCATTTGATCCGAGAATTTTTAGGATTTTGAAAACTTTTGAACCCTTATTTCCCTGACCTTCAGGTCCAAGAACAAGGCATGGCACTTGAGTCTGAGGACAGCCATCAGTTTCCTCCTCATCTGCTGTCCGGCTGAGTGGAAAGAGCCCAAAGTAAGGCTGTAGCGTAAAGACAGGCCTGCATAGCTGTGACACAAGGAAAGTAAGAGGTAAACAAAGAAGAAAAAGCAGCAGTAATGAGAATCTGCCATTACAAAATGGAGATTTTTTTTACTGTGTTCTATGCAATAATATTAACCATCCTTGCTAGACTGTGAGTAGTTTCTAAGAATGTTTATGAGTAGATACAAAGTACAGGGAGGCGGGGGGTTCCACTCATCTTACAAGAAGCCATAAAGGCTTCCAAAAGTTTGTCACGCAAGACGCACACGAGTCAATAATTCTACAGCCTAATTACGATGTCTCACCTAGAATAGTCTTTGTAGACGTCCAGTGAGTGCGTGTCCAGCAGAAGTCCACACCAGGGAAACAGGCAGTGAGGGGGCAGCACACGAATCCCGGGGAAAGAGCCCACGCTTTCCGACGCCTGAAAGTTGACCACCACCTTCTGCGGGTTGACCACCAGACCATACTGTGGTACCCCGGCCAGCAAGATCCTACAAACAACGTGCAAGTGCCATTATCGACTGCTAGATGAAAGATTCACCATCATGTCTATGTTAAATCTGTGTCTCCTTTCCATATGTAGATCCACGTGGAAACTCTGCCCACGCACCAAAGATAACGGAGTCTGTGGCCGTCTTCATATGTAAGGACCTACGACCGTACAGTGTCGTGGAAAACGGGGGTTTTAAGAAGATGGTATACACACTTGAACCACGTGTAATTCTACTTACTACTGAATGAGATTAGTGGTGATATTCTTGATAATGAGTCCCAGCATGTCAATAAACAAATCCTGCCATATCTATCTGTTTCCTGTTGGAGCAGATCCAGCCTGTTGGAGCAGATCCAGCCTGTTGCATGTAATTTGGAGTGTGTTTTTTCATTTAATAGTTTTTAATTTAAATTCACGTCAAATTTAACTTTTGAGCAGCGTATCACAAAGCTTTTGAAATCATGTTTAATCATGTTAGAAATATTTCAAAAATGCTTTCTTTTTTTAAATGTAAATTTAAAATGTAAATGTCCATTTTGCATGCTTTTATCTCCTCACACCTTGATTATTACGACAGTCTTGTGAAATCCAATACCTATTGTTAGACTACAGACTGTATAAAACCCAGCTGCCAGGCTTTTAATTTAACTAAGAGGTGTGGTCACATCACTTCCCTTCCAGCCTCCTTACACTGGCTGTGTTTCAGGAATGTCCTTATCGGTTACTTTTAGGACCCTTGCCATAATCCTGACCCTTTAGTACCATACAAGCCAGTACGTGACTAGAGCAAAGGTCTTATATCTTCACTTTACTTCATTTTATTTTTCATATTACTAGAAGTGGTTTTCGTCTATATTATAAAATCTAATGCATTTGATTAAATTTTAGAATTTGTTCATTTTAATTTGCTGTTGTGTTTAAAGGCCTTCATAACTTGGATTAAAAAAGTGATCTACAAATAAAGATTATTATTCACTCATGTTGGGTTCTGCGGAAACTGCAATATGATATGATATTGCAGCCTTCTATATCAAAGTATCTCGTATGGTTTCCAGTAAAAATGTACTGCTGAGAAAAAGTAATGGCTGCCAATTGCACTCAGCAACAAATGAATATGGTCCCACTTGTAAAGTCAGAAATAAATGTTGGTTGAGAGCCCTTGTGTCACATGGACCGTGTGTGAAAAACCTGGTGTGTGTCATACTTGAGAAAGGTTTGTGCTTCGTGTAATTCTGGCGTGATCAGAAGGAAGTCATCCACCAGCCTCATTAGAGATCTACAGGACACACAGAGAGAAAATAACACATACAGTAAACAAAACGGAGCTACGATACAGAAACACTGCCTTCTGCTGCTGCAGATGTGTTACCACATCAACGCCAGTTGAGTGAAAGCAGTCGGCTGTACCCTTTCTTTACAGCAATGTCTTTGAACAGGGTGTTCTCCATGTGACCGTAGCAGAGACAGCAGAGCAGACTGGACACAACAGAGCCCTGAGGAATCCCTCGACACTGGCGGTATGTCCTGAAACAGAGAAATCAAACTGCAACTAAAAAGGGGCAAATTAAACAGGAATTGTGCACAGAACATTTATGATGATGTTGTATAAACTCAATCATGTACAAAGTTATTTGAATGTGTTAACATTTACAAATAAGCTACGACAAGCGGCTCACATGTCGGCCTGTTTAAAGTTGCTTACTTCTTCCCAAACTGAACAATGCTGCCGGTCAGCATCTGGGTGAAGAACTGCAACGCCTCTCTGCCATGAAGATCTGAGCAGAAGTGCTGAGAGAAGAGAGGTTTTTTTTTTACACCTATCTTAACCTGAGCTTTTAATTTATTCACCTAAAGAAATATCAGGGGATGTCACGCTCACCTGCTCTACCAGAATGGCGTGATGAACTTTTCTTCTTTTCTGCAGTGACATCACAAACCCTTTCATGTTGGTGGATCCCATGTTATCCTCCAGGAAGTCTGCCTGTATTAACAAACATAAGAAACTCTCTACCTGGGTCAAATACTGTGTGTGTGTGTGTGTGTATGTCTAGATATATAGACAGGAGCATACTGTGTACAGTATGTGTGTATGACGGTACCTGTCTAACAAAGGCCTTTTTCAGACCCTCGTGGGAATCAGCCCAGATTTTGGCGTAGCGGCGGACGGTAAATAGTTCGTCCTGGACGGGCGATAGAGCCTGGTCAATCACCTCAAAGAGTTTGTCATGAGGCAGACTCTCAAAGGCTCCACTCACATCCACCTTAAACACAGAGAAAAGACAGAATTAATACATGAAGGAGGAAAACATTAAGCATTTAACAAAAAAATTAGTTTTAAGTGTGCTAGAGTTGAATGTATTACACAAACTAAAGGTTGTTGTTTTTTTTAGAGATATTTTTATAATATTTCTGTCTGTTTGCATATTTGTGGTAAGCTGTCTTTAATTTTAATGTTAACTAACACAATTATATTTTAAGAAAGGTATTTCGTTTGGCACAGTATAATGGCTAAGGTCAAAGGTGCCCACAAATGCATGCAAAGGGTTGCTAAGACGAGAGAAGAGAGCAGCGTTCGGGCCTTCATTTGGCCTCGAACAACAAAGACTATATAAAACGATCATATAAAAACGTATAGAAAATGTTGACAAATTGACAAGTTTGAGACTCCTGCCATTTAAGTGTGTCAAAAGTACAGGTTGATGCTTTTTGTAGCAATATCATTACAAAATGGATGAGTAGGACTACACAAAATACATCACTAACATTAGGACAATTAAATAAGGATAAAACAAACCTTCACAAAGTAGAGAGGCTGTGGCTTATCTTTCTGGGCCGGAGATATAGAGCGCAACACCTTGTGGATATCCGTCATCCCCCACACTGTGGAGCCCAGAAGGGACGGAGTAGAGCGCACACAGGCCCGCAGCATATCCAGCAAGTCCCGGACACGCCCTCGGTAGAGCTGCAGGGGGAAAGAAATGACCTAAAAATACGTGCACACGCTCACAACATGTAATAACACACAGTGGATATGTAAGAGAGAACCACAATGAACGCTGAATCAAAATGTACCCTTGTTTTGGCATCTGCTCCTATGACTCGTGTGATAGGCCTCATGCCATCAGTCTTGGGAATAAAGCGAAGGCGGGAGATTACGGTGGCTTTGGGGAGGGACGCCACCTGAGCCGGCGTCAACTCCTCCATCTGACCCTTAGAGAGGTGACCCCTAAATCACAGAGAGTGAGTTTGTGTGAGCACGACTGTACGAATAAGAGCCTTTGCAGGTGTGTGTGTGTGTGTGTGGTGTGTGTGTGGGTGTGTGTGTGTGGTGTGTGTGTGTGTGTATGCGGGTGTACCTGAAGGCCAAGTCCTGCAGTTTTGACCAGACTTCCTGTCTGTAGAACCTGGTGGCGTTCTTCTGGCCTACACTCTCAGTGACGTAGAAACAGGCTCGAACCAGGCCCGCTACGTAGCCATCCAGTAGCCAAGCAAGGAACTGACCCAGGATCTGTGTCCGATATGAGAGCTCACTGGGCGGGAACCTGCCTGCAGAAGAGAGTGGTTTAGTTACGTCAGCCAAAATACACGTAGCAGGAGAAAAACTGTACCACCTGCGACAATCTTACCCGTTTTGCTGATCTTCAACCAATCGCAGTCGTTCACATTCATCTTCCACATCAGTTCAGCCAGTGAGAGCTTCTCAAACTTGCCGCTGTACAAGAAGCCCCTGACCCTGACAAAGAAATGAAGTCGGTTGCGATCGGAGCCCCACAGCTCCTGCGGGATCACAGCCGAGAGGCATTCCTTGACAAACAGGTAGACCCGGTGAGGTGCACAGTGTTGAGGCAAGAGGGTGCTCAGTTCCCCTTGTCCTCCATCTCTCTCCTCCACCAGTGGGCACATCCTCTGCAGTATTCTGCTGTAGGGACATCTCCTGTGTTGACGCAACAGCTGACTGAACAGGGGGACCATGTTAAAAAAGCGCCGGGGGAGTTTCTTTGGCTTCCTCTCCACACCGTTCAGATACGCCAGTCCCTCAAAGAACACTGTTCGCACCAGATCTTGCCCTTGTAGTCTTCTGCATCCATCAGCGCTCTTCTTCTTCCTGTTGAGAAGGAAGCCACGCATGCCCCTCCCCCCGTAAAGGAATCCCAGTGTGCGGATAAAACATTGCGAGGGAGGCAAAGGGGGGAAAATCCCTGATCTCCAACTGGGTCCTCCCTCTAAGGGAAGTGTGGCTGTTTGCAGTTCAGCAGGCTGTTTGGAACCAGGAGTGCCATTTTCCAAAGGCTTTATAGATAGTTGGTTTGGTTCCACAAACATGGGCTGCCCTTCCTCCACCGTTTCATGGCAAACCTGTTCGTGTGTGGGTTCTCGCTGTCCTACCCGCCTCCTCTTTCCCGAACAAGTCATAATTTCATCAGTTTCTCTCTTTCTTTTCCCCTTTTTCACCCTTAAATCCATTCTGTTCCTCTTCCTGCTGACAGTAGGATTCTCAACTTCCTGTCTCCTTTTTGAGGTCCCTGCAGCTCGATACCTTTCAATCTGAGCAGCGTTACGTGTCCTGGACCGAGGCTGGACAGAAAATCCAACGGAGGCAGTAGTCATGGACACTCTGTCATAGACGGGGACACCGCACACCTGGAAAACACACGAAGGCGGGACCGCCACAAAAACAGAGCAGCTTTCCAACAGGTACCTTGTGATGTCCGTGCCGAGACGTACTGTGACTTTCTTCCACAGGTCGCTGCCATGGATGTAGGCAGCGCTTTGAGTGATATCTCCTTGGAATTTGAAGTGATCCGCATCCCGATCCTCCTGAGCCACGGACAGAAAATTGTAGCCGTGTGCCAAGACGTTTCTTTTTCGTTTTCTCTTCAGACTGTTTAGAACAAAGGCCAGCAGTTCAGGCAGAGTGCAGATCTATGGGAAATACATCACATGAACATAAGAAGTATCGCTGATTTGAGTTCCTTTTGCAACAAGAAAACATCAAGTTTAGCCTATTATAAACCTGAAAGCTCACTGTTCATTTAATAAAGCGTATGGGTCATTTACAGTCAATCACATTTGATGACAGTTTAATGTTTAACTGCAACTAAAATATCCTGTCTCAGCACATGTCTTTGTCCCAGTTCTTCTTCTGGACAAACTGTCTCCTGCACTACTATTATTATTAGTTTTACCATTACTATCACCACATACCACATTGATTAAAATGTATTTATTTACTGTTTTTTTACTGACTGTTCTTTTGCACTGTTACTGTTACAAATTTTAATTTTTAATTTTATTTTTCTGCTGCCCATTACCATAATCGTCATTTTTGCACTACCAATGTATTGTATATTTTATATTATTGTCAATATTTTTATATTTTATTGTCTGTTGTGTAATCTGAATGTTTAAATTGTATGGTTTCTTATCTGTTGTTGCCTGTGCACTTTATCTGTTTCACCGTGGGTTGAATGAGAAGCCGTCCTCTCGATTCCCTTGTATGTCGGTGCATGTGAAGAATTGCACAATAAAGCTGACTTTTGACTGATAAAGCAATTGACAGTAAAGTTAGCGGACATGTTTAAGGCTATTAGTCTAGTACGTTAAGGTTAGGTCGAGCCTACGTGCACAAAGTGAACTAACTAAAATTCCAGATAGTTTTTAAGCTTCGGGTGGGGGGGGGACCTGGTGCCCAGCTTGGCACTTGGCTGTAGCCCCCTTGTCAAAAAGACAACAAAAACCCCCCGCGAAAAGGGATTTTGAAGCGGGTTGTGTCCGGACTGTTCAACGAGCACTGCTCTCTGTCCTTCTCGTGAACAACGAGGGCTGTCCGCAAACTGTCCAGGGTCAGTGTGTGCTGTACAGTGACCGGAGAATCGAGGGCTTGGGACGGTCGGTAGCAGACAGTACTGACAGCAGAACACGCTGTACTGTACTGTATCAGAGACATGGCAGACAGGGTACTAAAAGTGGTTTGTTTAGCCAGCTTATTTAAAGCTTTGCAGTTTAAAAGTCCGCGTCATCCCCAGCCAATCCAGATATCAAACCTTTTGGTGTAATATCCAATCAGAATCCGCCTAAATACTGCAGCGTGTGAATCACAAATTGACCAATAGCCAGCAAGAAAGGAAATGTTGTCTTTTTCCCACGAATAGATGAGAGAATTGACAGTTTCGAGGACAAAAAGGTTTTTTTTTTACAGTGTGAAGTGAAAACAGTAATTTAAATGTACTTCATGTAAACCTTCCCTGCAAACATTTCATTGACGGGAGGTCTAGTGGCACAACCTCTCGCTTGAAAATAATAAAAATAAATACTAAATACAGTAAATGTTATTCACGTAGGTACGCATTGTAATCTGACCCTGGAAATACCCGGTCATTGACTAAATACATTTTAAGAGGCTTTTTATTTCATCAAACATTTCAACAACATCCGAAAATCAATTAATCCAGTAAATAAATAAATAAATAAATAATAAATTGTTCACACTTAAACAGATAAGACAATAAGATCTAGTTTTAGGTCTCGGGGGCTTATAGTTGATATATAAATGTAACTAGAGCTACTCCATATTGAACTACACATGAA